GGGGACCACATGATTCCAATTTTCCACTTAATTGTATTTTCTTTTCCCCAATTGCCCTTGCGATTTCAATTCTCCCCTCCACTAAACCATAATCCTGAGTCTACCCCTAGTGGTGCGGTCAAAATGAAAAAAGAAAACAATAAAATTAAACATCTCAGCATCTACAAATCTTCACATGAATGAAATATTGTCAAATGAAGTAGGATTATAACCATTTTGGTACTTAATAAATTAAACAGTCATCGTTGGAACAATATTCAATTTACTTCGTGACTACTTGTTCGTTATAATCCTAGTATAAACAATATTCAACCCTTGTTTGGTCTCATTTCTCCAAATTTGATTAAACTCTTTAAGAACATATTTTATTAACTAGTTAGCATTATTCTTTATAAAAATCTATGAAAGCATTTTCACAATAGGTTCTTGGTAGTTGTACATTTAAGGTATTCTACTCTTCTTGGCTAAACTCATTCAGTTTACAGACCCCATGACAAGAGAGGGAGCCACATTTTTTTAAATCATGGCCCCCTCTCTTGTAAGGTGGTCTGTCACCGAGGTGTTCACTGTGCACCTGTGTTCTTTCTTTTTCTTATAGAGAGAAAGTATTACCAATTCAAGAAGTAGAGATTTGAGTAGGGGCGGAAGAATATTTTCTCAAGCAATAATCTCAAATTCAATGGTGATGATAAAAATCACAAATAGGCATGCTTACATTGTTGGGTTGTGTGCCCATATAATGTATTTTGTTATGATAAAACAATAATCTATAATAAATAAATTATGATTTTATTTATTAATTATTGAGCATGCAAATTAAAATGTCTATGATCACCTGTGATAATATAAGTTGGATACTTACGTTAAAAACTATAATGTGCCAATTTATATTTTGATTATAAATAATTTGTTCATAGCTAATGTATAAGGGTTGACATCTTATACTGAAAGGTCATAGTATTAACCAATTCACTATTCATTTTTTTGATTTGTTTTTATCACAAAAAAAGTTAAAAGGTGACACTAGTACACTTGGAATGAATTGATCGGATCACGTGTCGAGTTTAATTTTATAGCATGATCGTACGGAAAATTAAATTCTACTTAACCGTTGTATATTTCATTTAAATCTCTTAACAGGGTTATGTATATCTTTTTGTGATTTTAATAGTTCTTTGATTCATCAATGAGTGAGATCAATATAATTAATCAAATATCTCGATGAGTTGGGAACTTGAGAATGAGCGAAAGTAGAGAACATGAATTCGTGTTGGGAATCATCACCCTAAAAAATAGATAGAGTGGCTGCTTACATATTTTATGTTGAACAGTTAAAATTTGAGCTTAGTGTTTAGCGACGTCTAAATTTCAACATCTATAATTAGTTCACATGACCATTGAAAAAAATGATATTTTAGTTAGTATGAATAATTAGAAGGGCAAAATAGATATTTATTCTCGTACCTAATTATAGAATCTCGGATGGGGATAAAATATATATGGCATGTCAGAGGAAAATATTACATATTTATTGGTTTCTGTGATCTTATATATTCCAAGAGTTCAATCTTTTATCTTTAGTGAAAAAAAAAAGCAAAGACTAAGAAATAGATTGGATGGTCTAGGGTGAACTAGATAAGATCTAATTATTGGAACTTAGATAATATATGTCCAATCAGGTCCCTATGGTAGCTCTACTAAATATTGTGACTTAATTATGGTAATTATAATAGTATTGGGCTTAATTGTAATTACAATAAAATTGTGTACTTAATTGTAATTACTATAGAAGCTATAAACTTAACTATAATTGTAATTGAAGTTTCAAGACTACACATGCAATTAAATATAAACTAATTGAATTTTAATTTTAATTAAAACTCTTATTTGGATTTTATTTAAAACTCTTATTTGAATGTGAAATTATTATTGTAAAGGATTATAACTATTCTATTTCTATAAATAGAGATTGAATGAAACCTAAATACCCAATGCAATTGTACAGCAATCATAATACACAATTTCTTAGTGCTCAGATTTGGAGAGAGAAATAATTATTTTCTCATCTTATTCAATTGTCCAATTTCAGAATTTGTTTTTTGATTTAATTAGATGACGCTGCCCACCCATCATTGTAGTCATGACTTTGGAAAATACCATAAAAAATTTGAAGCATCAATTCTTGCAATTTAAAGTTGGAAGTTTGTGATCCAAAAATGCTAGAAGTTCGTGATTTATAATTTATTCATGAATTAATCATCAAATTTATGTAAAAATTCAAATATTTTATTCTTGATATGACATATTGTAGACATAAAAAAAACAATGGATTAGGTCAATTTAAACAATTAGTCCAATTAAATTTATTAAATTGAAGTTTAATAAGGCCCATAAAAAAATTCAAAGGCTCATCGTATTTTTTTTTAAATCCATAATTAATCAATTATTATTTTTAATTAAAATTAATTGGATAGTTGCCAAATTGGTCACGATTTTTCCCTATAAATAGAACCAAAGATCCATAAGATTAAAAACAAGTGAAAGTGTAGAATGAAATCACGAAGTGCCGAAAAAATTTTGAAATTAGATGAAGAGACAAAATCCTCTCAAGTCTAAGTCCGAGGAACACCAAGAATATCAAAATCTTCTTCAAAGCAAGCAAGTCTAAGCCAAGTCTAAGAATATCAAAGTCTTCTTCAAATCAAATTCAAATCCAAGTCCAAAGCCCGAAATCCAAGCGACAAACAAGCCAAATTTTCAACAAATTCTTGAAATTCAGGATTCAAGTCGCATGGTCTCTCATCTTCAAACGTTAAAATCATTAATTAGAGGATTCTTGCAATTTTGCAATTACAAAATGTTAATATTCACTTATATTTTTCAAAAAATACAATTTCTAACAATTTATGTATTTTAATATACGAAATTCGTTGTATACATACACGTGAACATCTATACAATATTGTTTATTAAATTAAAGATTATTTTTTTTTATTTCTGAATAATTCCCCTTGAGCATTTCAACATAAGCAACCGCCACACAAATCAAGTAGAATCAATCTACTTGTACAAAGTTTGTTTACAAAATTAGTTTACAAAGTATTGGGAAAATCAAGCCATTGATTTCAAAAACTGATTTTGAAATGATTGATCTAAATATTGTCAACACATAGTTTGTAAACCAAATTCGTCAATACTGTTTGTACACATAGCATGATTCGATCAGATAAGTACTACTAATGCCTGAGTAGGCAGATTATCGATAGGGGGCTAGCTTGCTTCCATTGGCGGCAGCATTCTAGGTATACCTGATCTCTGACACTTAGCAAAGCCCATAAAAAATTTCTTCATCACCTTCCCCAGTTACTCCTGTAGTAGTCTTATAACAAATAAATAGGCTTGTTCCTAACTTCTAATTATACATGACATTATCCTAGCTTCTTGACTAAACCAAACACAGTCGAAATAATGACAATTTCCTTTGCTCAAATCATCCTCTTCACAATCACAGCCATTTTAATATTCTCCACCCCTTCAACAGCCCAAGCTGGAATTCTCTCTCACCCTTTCAAGAAAGTTTACGCCTTTGGCGACGCCGAAACCGACACCGGCAACACAAGGTCAGCCACCGGTCCGACCATATTCCGGTTCGTATCCAACCATCCTTATGGCCAGTCATTTTTCGGCCGACCCACAAACCGATACTCCGACGGACGTCTCATGATTGACTTTTTGGCCGAAGCCCTGTCGTTACCGTACTTGCCGCCGTATCGCAACAAGACTGCTGATAAATCACATGGAGTGAACTTCGCTTATGCAGGCAGCACTGCATTGACACACAGTTTCTTTCTGAGCAATAATCTTACACTCAACATTATTCCTGTCTCACTTCAGACACAGCTCAGTTGGTTCAACGAGTTTCTTGAAAAGGAAAGGTGTTCAGGCTCGCCAGCATTGTTCCGGTGTAAGGCAGAATATATAAATGATGCACTGTTTTGGGTTGGAGAAATGGGAGCAAATGACTATGCATATAGCTACAGATCTTCTGTGCCAGCCGAAACAATTCAAGAACTTGCCACCACTCGGGTAATCGAATTTGTACAGGTAATATTTGGAGTGTGTGAAACCTAATTATTTATACCTTCGACCGCATAATCTACTGATATAATAATTCAACCATAAAAAGGGCAAGGGCCTCAACGTAATAGATATCTACGGCGGTGAGTGTGGGCGTAACTAAGGGTGAACCCATATATTGCTTTTTTGTTTTCGAGTTTCATTCTGTTTAGCATGATGATGGCTACATTTTCTATGCAGTGCTTAGGATTCTTAGATTAAAATAAAATTTTATTATTATTTTAATTATTTTCGGATTTTTTGTCAAACTAGACAGTAAAATATAACAGTTGGAGAGGATTTACCGGAATCATAAAAATCACAAATTTTTAAATTTAATTATAACTTATTAGCATGAAAGTTACAGTTATTGAATTACATAAATCCCTTATTTTTCTTCAAAAAATAAAACTGAAATCATTTCATATATCTTATACGATTCAAGCATTATTTTCCTTATATTTTTGTTGTGGAGCAAATCTTGAGAGTTTTTGAGAATCTCTTGTAATTGATGCAGAAGTAATTCCATCGTTATATTTTAAGAGTGATTGACCAAAAACGTCGCATCACTTTGGAAATTGTGCTTCCACAAGTCTAGATCGTTCCATAAATTTTCTTTTCTGCATTTTATTATTCTGCAATTAATTTGTTGACAGGCATTGCTAAATAAGGGTGCAAAGTATATCCTTGTTCAAGGCCTGCACCCCACAGGCTGCCTGACGTTGTCTTTGGCAACGGCTCCTTCAGATGATAGAGACAAAATGGGGTGTGTGGCCAGTGTGAACAACAAAATCTACACTCACAACACAATCCTCCAGTCGAAATTGAATAATCTCCAGATAAAGTTCCCACAAGCCATCATTGTATATGCAAACTACTGGAATGCCTTCTATCATGTGTTCGAAAATTCCGATGAGTATGGCTTCAACGAGAAATTCAAAGCCTGTTGTGGATCCGGGTGCGGAACCTACAAATTCGATGCACTTTTTGCATGCGGCTCGCCTCCCTCGACTGCGTGTAACAACCCTTTCGAGTATCTGAATTGGGATGGTGGACATCTCACTGAAGCCACGTACAAGGTTTTGGCAGATTTATTCATCAATGGGGCATATTGTGAACCAACTTTCAGTTTTTTACTGAGCAATAAGATGCAATCAGGATAGATGGATCATAGATCCCCTTTGTATCCCCTCCAACAATAATATGATTGGCATAGAGTGAGAATCAAATCTATGGTTTGGCAAAAGTTTTCAGAATATGCAACTCTAATATCAATGGCATATTTGGTAAGTACATGGCATGGAACAGTACAAACCCCACTACAGTGCTCGAATTTTTTTTGATAGAAGGGGTGACCGACTCTCACAATGGCAGGGAACCACTTTTTTTTAAGACTTTTTTATTCACGCAAGACTCACGACATGTAAGGGGATGTCAACCATTCGGGCACGAAAATTTGGGCAAAGTGGCAAAGTTTTGGAATAGTATAAAAATGAAAAAGAAGTTAAAATCTTGATAATTAGTTGAGGATCCATATGGAATTTATCAATAAATCAAACTAGAGGTAAAAAGGATGGTCATTTTACTCAAAATTTGATATTTTAACGATCAAACAAACGGTTTCTATCATGAATCATGAAAGCATGTCAGGTGCAGACTCTTGTAAACTTTTGAACATCGGGTGCTAGAAGTCAAATGTTCGAAATTTCATTGTCTCAACCTTCAAAAGTTCATAACCATAAGTGCAATATACCCTATAATATAATACTATGAACATCTATGTCTCGAAAAATTATAATTTATTAGATGTAATTAGAAATTTGTGGACGAGGCTCAAAGTATTATCAATTACTTTTTGTTAGAATACAAATCTAAGATTCGTATTTACAACATTATAATTAATGCGTAAATTAAACATGAATTCTATGTGTAATACATCCTCATCCAAATTCTACATCTAATACGAGTACACAAAAATTATATTCTAATACAAGCATATCTATGTCAGTTCTAAGGAGATAAGATATTGGTAGACTATCAATGTTCGAACTCCATATTTTGATTGATCAAAACAAGGTAATTAATTTGCCAAAGAAGCAATTTTCATCCTTGAGGGATTAGAAAATCTGAAGAGTGAAAAATTCACAAAATTATTCAATGTCTGGAGACGATTCTTGAAGCAGATCTGGCAAGGATTCAAGTTTCTTCAAATTCTTATCTTGGGCTTGGGCTGGCCTACAATTTATATGAATTGGGCCTGTACAAAAATGTCTCTTTTTTTTTTTAAGTTTTTTGTTGGTTTTGGGCTTGTTCAGCCCATTGCAGTCCCAAATTCGCCCCTGATTAAGACCTGTGTCCATGTCCTCTAACCAGTGTACGTCATTGATTATGATTACAAATTCAAAATCTACAAGAAGATTGTAAACGAAGTGGAAACCTAGAACATAGAAAGAGCCTATGATTCATAAATCATCGTAAAATGATTTTACTATCCATAATCTTTTAATGAATGTACTATTATGATTTACAGGGCCTGTCCTGGCCCAAGCCAAGCAAGGCCATTGCCTTGGACCTTGGATTTTAAGGGACCTCTTAAAAAAAAGGCCCAAAAGCCACCCCAATACAAAACCCTCAAATCTCTTTTAAAATAATAATAATACTAATAATCAGCAGATGAACATCCATTGTCAAGAACGTGAGAGAAAATTGAAAATGCAATCGTCAATACCAATCGATGATTCGGCAATCCCTAAAGGCTACCAGCAAAGGTTCCGGCTAGAAATCTGATTACCCAACTGAGTACTTTTCTCTTCGTCTTCCTATTGAAGTGTTGTGTTGAGGTAATTCTGCAGGTTGCAAATTAATTATTCTTATTCTGGAATTGGATAGATTTTGGGTATTGGTAATTTGTTTATAGAAGTAATAATGTAATTGATATGAAATTTATAGAAGTAATTGATACGAAAATTTGTTCAATATATCAACTGGTTATTTACTAATTTGCTGTTAGGCAGAAGAAAAGATGAAAAGAACAAATAATACTTATAAATCCGTGTATATGTGTTGGATTCTGTCTGGATTAAAATGGATGTAATGTTTGATAAAACAAAAAAGATCAACTAAGAAATTTAGTTACCATATTCAAATCTGACTATGTAATATCTTCTGAATTTTGGTAATGTCTGTTGTGACTTTTGGTGAACAAATAATGTTCAGAGTTCTCAGAGAAGTTTTATTTTGCTTTGCTACTCTATCTTTTGAATTGTGTAAATTCTTCTTTTTAATATAAAAATGTTAATTATTAAACTATTTAAATAATATTACACTTGTAAAATAAAATATATGTTGAAAGGTCTCATAATAATTAATCATCTACGGCCTCTAAGCCGAAGTCGAAGCCTAGAACATAGAAAGAGTCTAAGATCCAATAAATTAAGCCTTCGCTTGAGCTCCATTTTTTTCATGAAAATACATTCTATAAAAGTGATTTGACACAATTTCAACCACACATTTTTTAATAAAATAATATTACACGTAAATCTAAGAAATTTTCTTATTTTTTAACCACATATTCACTATCATAACATTATTTCAAAATGATTTTTTTATTTTTTTATTTTTGAGAAAAATGGGGTTCAAACAACCCTAAGGGGTAATTAATACAAAACATCGTTATCTTTCAATGCTATTGTGCAAAACGTCCTTACATTTTATTTTTTAGCATTTTCACATTTCGTTGCGGAAAATGTTCTTTTCATTCAATTTCTCAATAAAAAAACTGTAAAATGATAAATATACTCCCATATTTAAATAAAACAAAAAAATAAAAATAAATTGCAATTATACTACCAAATTTTTAAAAAAAAAAAAACTACAAATGAGTCCAAATAAATTATTGAAAAACTTGCAACAGAGGTCCCCAAACATTTAAAACACTAGTAGACCTTCCCAAAATCTTTAATTTGTTACAACCGTCACCCCAAACCTTTCGAAACATTGTGTCGGAGGCCCTTTTGGACGATTTTCATCCAAATATTTGTTAGTTGACTAAGAAATTTGACTTTGATCATATTTTTAATATTTTTGAAAGGGTAAAATAGTAACTTTTAATTTATTACATTAAAATAAGTTATAAATTAAATTAGAAAAAATAAGAAATAAGAAATCTAAAAAAAAAAACCAATCATCTTCTTCCCCCTAGCCCACATCCACCTCCACCCCAAAATCATTTACCTACCATCGCCACCGCTACCAGCACCTCTACCCCCAGCCATAAAAACCCAAATCAAAGCTCGAAGTTTTATGCAAAAATATGTATGTAGATTTGTAGCTATATTTTGGGTTAGTATTATATAGTGTTCTGGTAAGAAAAAACTCATTGGATAAAATGGAGAAATCCAACAGGGGCGACATAAATCGAAAGTATTTAAATTAGGGTACACCGTGAATTTTGTACTGATATTAGCTCCATCTCTGTTCTCATTCGAAGTTACCGTAATTATTTCATCATAAACCCTAAGCAGAAATAAGCCCTTTCCATTAATCGTCTCTTGGAGCTTTTTGTTCCACTTGAACATTCGCATATTACACGCAAATCTAAGAAATTTTCTTATTTTTTAACTAAATATTCACTATCATAACACCATTTCAAAATGTTTTTTTTTTTTTTTTTTGGGGGCTCAAACAACCCCTAAGGGGTAATTAGTACAAAACATTCTTATCTTTCAATACTATTGTGCAAAACATCCTTACATTTTATTTTTTAGCATTTTCACATTTCATTGCAGAAAATGTTCTTTTCATTTAATTTCTCAATTAAAAAAAAACTGTAAAATGATAAATATACTCCCATATTTAAATAAAACAAAAAAAAAGAATAAATTGCAATTATACTACCAAAAGTTTAAAAAAAAAAACTACAAATGAGTCCAAATAAATTATTGAAAAAATTGCAGCAGAGGTCCCCAAACATTTAAAACATTAGTAGACCTTCCCAAAATTTTTAATTTGTTGCAACCATCCCCCCAAACGTTTCGAAACATTGTGTCGGAGGCCCTTTTGGACGATTTTCTTCCAAATATTTGTTAGTTGACTAAGAAATTTGACTTTGATCATATTTTTAATATTTTTGAAAGGGTAAAATAGTAACTTTTAATTTATTACATTAAAATAAGTTATAAATTAAATTAGAAAAAATAAGAAATAAGAAATCTAAAAAAAAAACCAATCATCTTCTTCCCCCTAGCCCACCTCCACCCCAAAATCAGTTACCTACCATCACCACAGCTACCAGCACCTCCACCTCCACCCCCAGCCATAAAAACCCAAATCAAAGCTCGAAGTTTTATGCAAAAATATGTATGTAGATTTGTAGCTATACTTTGGGTTAGTATTATATAGTGTTCTGGTAAGAAAAACTCATTGGATAAAATGGAGAAATCCAACAGGGGCGACATAAATCGAAAGTAATTAAATTAGGGTACACCGTGAATTCTGTACTGATATTAGCTCCATCTCTGTTCTCATTCGAAGTTATCGTAATTATTTCATCATAAACCCTAAGCAGAAATAAGCCCTTTCCATTCATCGTCTCTTGGAGCTTTTTGTTCCACTTGAACATTCGCATATGTAAGCTTTTGATTTCTTATGTTGTGACTACCATCTCTAACACGCACAACATGACGAATTTTATAGAAATTTTTGGAAAAGTTGAACTGGAATAGTCTGTATACATATTGATTAGGGTTTTGGTAGTAGAAGAATAGGGGATTGGGTGTGATTGTGGTTACATTTTGATTTAGGTTTTTGTGGCTGGGGATGGAGGTGGCGTTGGTCGGTAACTGATTTTGGGTTTAAGGTGGAAGGGGTGAGAGGAAGAAAGATGATTGATTTTTTTATTTTTTTTTTATTTTTTTTTCTAACTTGTTTTAATATAATAAATGGAAATTTACTATTTTATCATTTCAAAAATATTAAAAATATGGTTAAAGTCAAATTTCTTAGTCAACTAACAGATATTTGGATGAAAATTGTTCAAAAGGGTCTCCGTTGCTACATTTCAAAATGTTTGAGGTGATAGTTGTAGCAAATTAAATGTTTGGAGAAAATTTGCTAATGTTTTAAATGTTTGGGGCCTTTGCCACAATTTTTCCTAGATTATGAAAAGGGTAATTATCACAAGGACTATGCTATGGGTGCATAGGCGACCGGAACCCCTCCAATAGGGAGCTCCATGTGTCCATTTTGGACACCATTATGAATCCCCCTATGTACAAGAAGATTAATTCTTATTACAAAATGTCTTTACCTTTCAATATTATTGAGCAAAATATTACATCTTTCATTTTTTATTATTTTTACCTTTATTTCTCCATTTTATTGCGAAAATCATCATTTTTCATCAATTTTTTTAATTAAAAACTGTAAAATGACGAATATCCATTACTATTTAAATAAAACAAAAATAAAGAACAAATAGTAATTATATTCCCAAATTTTTCAAAAAAAAATACAAATAAATTTCAAATAAATAATTGAAAAAAAAATTCACTCTTTTTTTAATTATTTAAGTCGAAGCTAAAGTCAGCAACTCATTGTATAAATTTGTAGAGACATACATAACAATAAATTTTGTGGCGGTTGACAACTTTAAAGAAATGTCATGTTATGTTTATAATAAGAGGAGGTCCTATGTGATAACCTTATATGTGGCATTCCTTTCGCTTGGCACCGTGGCTTCACTAATTTGAATTTCTCCTTTCCTCGATAGAAAGATTAGTGCCCTTAAGCAATAAATAAAAAATCAAATTTTTAATAAATTTTAATAAAAAATTATGAAATTCATAAAATATATTATTAAAATTAATGTCAACTTTAAATCAAATTTTTTAACTGAACTAAACAAAACTAACACTATCAAAGTTAAATTATACATTTTAACGAATAGAAAGTTAAAGCAAACACAGACATTTGAATGTATTGGAAATTTCGCCTTTTACTTTCGTATTTATATTTTATTTATGTGAGTGCAAATTGTAGAAAAATATCTTCTTCAATATTTTTTTATATCACAAATGAAGGGCGCAGGGGACAAGACTTGAGAGATGGGTTATATCTTCAATGTACATACACGCATATAAGTCCTAATCCATAGATCTACCTTCGGTTCCTGGATCGCAAATCGCAGCCTAATAGTTGCGAATCGTACCAGTTAAGGTACGTAACCAATTGAGATTCTGTAAACTTTTGTAAACCCTAATTTCGTTATTACTTAAATCGACATTGAATTACTTTCGATGACGGAACATTTGGAAAATTGAATTCTGAACTAAATTTTATAGAAATCCTGTCTTTTTAATTTCTGGGTCATCTCTATTTTGCCTCTTTAGTAATGGATTGTATGTTTTGTAGACTTTGTTGAAAAGTTGAACATTTACAAGTTAGAACTGTGGTTAAAATTTGCACGGATCTTGTTTTTATTTTTTTTCTGGGTTCATTTCTTCTTTTTTCCCACCCTATTTTACAATTAATTGTATATTCTGCTGACTTTCTGGAATATGCGAGTTTCTTGTGCATAAAACTGTACTCTTTTTGCTTCTGTAGTTTGCCTCCCTAGTTTGATGGCAGATTTATTTTGAAGGCTTGTGTAAAAGATTATTTTTTTTTCTTTGTATGTAGTGTAATGGATGCTTAAACTCTTCAATTAGTACCTGATTTTGGTATTATTGTGAGAAGAGAATTTTTATTGTTGGGTTGGAGTGGGAATATCTTGCTGCTGATACTATGGAAAGTACGTGTTGGAAGTTTAAATGGGCAGTTTGTTGAAATGCAATTGGGGACTCAGAGTCCGGACATGTTAAAACCAATTCAATGCCTTTAGTTCTAAATATGATTCCTCATTTCGATGAGACATTTTGTGTTGAGATCTTAGAATATGGATGCCCTGGCCTACATGATGATGTATCTTTTGGTTGATTTTTTATATTTTCATTTTTTTTAGGAGATTTCTGAAAGATGGTTGGAATTTTATTTTGAGGTACAAAGTGGTCATTTTCGTGTTTCTCTAGTATGGAGCTGTATGAATGTCCTTTTTGAGCCTAATCTGACAATTATAGCTTAAGGAATTGGGAGATAGATTTATTCCCTCGTCAATCCTCTGTGCTGTTATAAAATTGGGGACTTATAAAAAAAAAAATTATAAAATTAGGGAAAAAGCTTATTAGGTGCCTTATTCAGTAAATTGCATGGAATTGAACTTTTATAATTTCTGATAAATGTAGCAGTCTGTTCAAATTTGATTCTTCGAATGACTATAATCCATTTTGATCTGTGCCTTCAATGAGAATCTTCTTGGGTTGATAAAGATTTTTCTTGAAATAAAACCATCAAAGATTTGCTTAGAATATTTATATTGTAGATATACAGTGGAGTGTGTTATATTGGTAATCTAATGCAGGTTATGAACCTTTCCTTAGAGGATCTATTAGAAACAGTTCTTGATTTGTGAGAAAAACAAAAATCATGCATATAAAACAGGTTCTTTTCTCGAATATTCTTTGGGTGAAATGCATATATGGGATACGGAAAGCTTGAATTGAAACTCAACATTAATTGTTGTATGGGAGTACGAATATTAATTTATTGAAAGGCAGTAACTATAAACTTCTTATGCACCTTTATGTTTAAGAGTCCTTAAAAAATTATTTGATTATTATTTGAAAAGGACTTCATTTATTAAATCAGGATTGGTAGAGTAGAACAAGGTTCTGGCAACTTTTGAACAAGATACCAACGAGATTAACTGAATAGTAATGGAATCACAAGATTTACTCCAATATTGATTCCAGATGATTAATGTTATTTATTTTAATTGAATAATTGAATTGATTTGAATCATATGACATGAATCGTGGATTAATGGATTTTGACTAATATATATGTGCATGTAGGAAGACTGGGGACGAATTGGAGTGCTCTCTTTTCCTTGGTAGCCCTAACTGAAAGTGTTGGATGAATTGTTTGCCGGAAAAACTTTACTATCGAATCATAAACTTTTTGATGTTGACTAAATTGCAGGACCTGTAATCTGAAAGCTGTCACCATGTCTTCTTCATATCTTCCAGCAACCACAGATTCGCTTGTTCTGGCTACTGAAACAAAAACTCCATCCGAGGCTATATCTATCCTCTATCGCGTACTTGACAACCCCTCATCTTCTTCTGAGGCTCTAAGGATAAAAGAACAGGCCATCTCCAATCTCTCCGATCTTCTTAGACAAGAGAACAAAGCTGAGGAACTAAAAAATCTACTGACCCAGCTCCGTCCGTTCTTCTCGTTGATACCCAAAGCAAAGACTGCAAAAATTGTCCGTGGAATTGTTGATGCAGTAGCCAAAATACCAGATACATCAGATCTCCAAATTGCCCTCTGCAAGGAAATGGTGCAATGGACCCGTGCAGAGAAGCGAACTTTCCTTCGCCAACGAATTGAGGCAAGACTTGCAGCTCTTTTGATGGAAAACAAGGAATATTCTGAAGCATTAAATCTTCTTTCAGGCCTGATCAAGGAAGTAAGAAGATTAGATGATAAGCTCCTGCTTGTCGATATAGATTTGTTGGAGAGCAAGCTCCATTTTTCTCTGAGAAACCTTCCTAAAGCTAAGGCTGCACTTACTGCTGCAAGAACAGCTGCCAATGCTATTTACGTGCCTCCCGCTCAGCAGGGCACCATAGATTTACAAAGTGGGATTCTTCATGCAGAAGAGAAGGATTACAAAACTGCTTATAGCTATTTTTATGAAGCTTTTGAAGCTTTCAATGCCCTCGAAGATCCTCAGGCCATATATAGCCTCAAGTATATGTTGCTCTGCAAAATCATGGTTAGCCAAGCTGATGATGTTGCAGGAATAATATCCTCCCCCAAGGTGGGTTTGCAATATCAGGGCCCTGAACTCGATGCAATGAAAGCCATCGCTGATGCTCATTCAAAACGTTCGTTGAAGCTTTTTGAGACTGCTCTTCAAAATTTTAGGGCTCAGCTTGAGGAAGATCCTATTGTCCACAGGCACCTTTCTTCCCTTTACGATACACTGCTTGAGCAGAACCTTTGTAGGTTGATTGAACCTTTCTCAAGGGTCGAGATTTCTCATATTGCCGAGTTAATTGAATTGCCTGCCGACCATGTCGAGAAGAAATTATCGCAAATGATCTTGGACAAGAAATTTGCTGGAACTTTGGACCAGGGTGCTGGATGCCTCGTCATTTTTGATGATCCCAAAACAGATGCTATATATCCAGCTACACTAGAAACCATTTCGAATATGGCCAAAGTTGTGGACAGTCTTTACGTGAGATCAGCCAAAATAATGGCATGAGGTTGAAATTGTTGGATGTCCTTCCAATTGGCAGCTACTTTTATCTTTTCTATCTCGGGATTCATCAGGTTGTGCTTGCTTTTTTACTCCATTTACACTCTCTTCAAGTTAGTGTACTCTCTGTTAAACATTTTTCGCTCTAGGTTCTTTAAATTCTTAAAATTTTCGATCCCCCCTTACGGGCTTCATGATCTGTTTGAACCTCTATGGCTATTTCCAGAGTCGGACTGATTCTTTTCTTGGATGTGTTTTTATCGTGGTGTTCATAATTTGCTATGAATTTGTTGACAAAAATGGAAGTAGAGCTTGATTATAACTATAGGTTTTACTTACAGCGTTAATTCACTTTCAACATCTATTGCAGACAGAATAAAAAAAAAAAAAAAATTCTGAATCTTGTACATTCTTATTCACGTCCCAAAACTTGCCATAAATTTATCGAATTGCCCTATGGAAGCATATCTTCTATCAAGAAAGTCATGCATCTTTGAAGTGCTCATTCGAGTCGTAGAAAGACTTGATTTGACCATTTTTCCAGGTATTGAGAATAATGAGGAAGAATCCCAATGCACAATAATTCAATTCGCTCGAAGAACTGGGACTTTCCGGCGCGCTAGTATAATATCATTCATTTGGGCAATTCGGAGCAAAAGTTGATTTATTTTCTGCAAAAAAGTACGGCCAGTTAGCCAATGGTTATAACTCCGGAATGAAATCTCATAAGAAAGGAGTTCACATTACGTAAACTAGTTTACTAATCAGTAAATGAATAACTTTCAAAATAATTAATTTTTATAATGGTCAAGGATGGAAATCAATGTAAAAGTTACTTTACAAAGAAGTAACTTATTTAATTTAAAAGTAATATTGGTAATCTTTAAGTTTAGGCAAACACGCTCCCAACAAATAATACAAGAGCTGCAAAGGCATTCTTTAAAAGTTATGTGAGATACAACTTAATGCAATAAATAAAATTTTATTCTTAATACGCAATTTCCATAAATCTTATTGCGTCATCATAAGCAATTTTAAAAAAAAAGTGATTTATGCTAATTATTGACCCACGTAAATTCTTTGTGATCCGTACATGAATAACATTAAAAATTTAAAAACTCCAAACATATTACAGTTTAATGTCAATAATTGTATCATGATTGATTGAGCTTAAAAATAAGTAAAAATTAATTTTAAGTAACAATTATTTCCAAACTCATTTAGATAAGTTTAGGTTTCCTTACTTTGAAATTTAAAAAAAAAAAAAAATTACTAAATTTCAAAGTCACTGTTACTTTACAATTGAAATAAGTAACTAATTTACAACTTCTATCAATAAAATCTTTTATTTATTTTAAGACATATTTACTTTTAAATAACTTATTTTCAATTTTGATCAATAATAATTCTTATTTATTTCAAAACTTTTAAACTTATAAGTAAACTTTTTAAGCTTAAGATCATGCCTTAAAACTATATGAATTTTTTTTTTCTGAATCAAACCTGGTCTTTTTCTTTGATGAGAAGTAATAGGTGCTCCTTCTGCTCCATCTTCATTGATTTCCACCATTTCAACACTCTCCTATGCAACAAGGACGCTAAAACAACTGCTGCGACTCCAGAAACTGACCACAATCCAACCTTAAAGCAATCAAATTTTCTTATCTTAAGTAAAATCCGAAAAATACCCGAATTCAAGACTCCCAAATTCAATCTTTTCGACTGGTTAACATCTCTTTCCACCCTTTCGACTCCATCTTTTCTACCATCGTCGCCACCAGATGACATTATCCCTGACAAAAATGGCTGTGGCTCGTGGACTTGTTCGTTGTTGCGCGGAGTCGGGACAGTTCGGTCTTCATGATCATTTGGAGCAAAATTTGAGCCATTGTTGTGCATTGAGTTGTTATTGTTCAGCTTTATGTCCTCCCAATCGGACAGGTCTTCTGATACGTCGTTCTTCTCCATGTTGTAGTAAGGTTGTTAGTCGAGAGGCAGAAGAGGAAATCGAGTAGTGTAACAATGCTGCTAATGTTCATTACACAAAACATTATCCCTTCTTTGATTATTTGAAATAAAATTCACAAAAAATCTTGCTTGGAAGATAATGTTCTTGGAAAACATTATCCCTTCTTTGACTATTTGAAATAAATTTCACAAAAAATCTTGCTTGTAAGATATTTTGCTGGAAATATCATGAAAGGCACTTTTCAGAATTTGTATTTGTCGGCTAGTTTTTTAGGCACATAATAAAGAAAAACACAACAGCAAGTAAATTAAGAAATTGACTTTTTATATCCAGAATTTGGGTTTTGCAGCTAATTACTTTGGTCTTTTCTTTTACTTATTTCTTTGCTTTTGTGATATTTGGAATTGAATATTATTTTTCTTTTAATTGTGCACACATAATTAAGGTGATTACAGTTCATTGTTCCATTCAAAATCAACATCCACAATGACCCACAATTCTAGGTGCCGATTTTATTGAACTAGTCCTCTACTAAAGTAATTCTATCTAGGTAACGTGTCATCTCCAAGCACGTGTCCGTTGATATTAATTTTTATGACTATATTGGATAAAACTCACCTTAAAACTAGCATTTAAAGGGGATGGTGCCCGAATATTGAAGTTCAAAACTAACATAGAAACCAAAGGAACGAAAGGGTAGAAGAGTACGATCAAAGAGTATAACATGTGCCCGCATCAGGTGTAATTCTCGAATTTCACGTTCAGTATATCCTAGAATTTCTAGATTCCTCTGCACAAAAATTAAAACGTACCCCCCAAATAGCAAAATGTTATAATAATTGAATTATGTACGTGGCAATATCTTGGAATTGAGAGCCAAAATGTAGTGCAATGCAAGAGAACACTTGATATATTCGATAAGTACTGTTTTCAGGATCCCACATTGGAAGAACAAGGAAAAGGAGGAATTGAGGAGTAATATAAAAGAAGACCTCGTGGGATTGAGCAACATACTTACCTGGACAGGGTCAATGGACGATCAAGAAGGCCTATGGCATAGATTGGCGACTTCTATTGCACTTTGGTGGGGCGCCTGTCTAAGGTCGGCACAAGTGGTCGAGCCTATGTCATAATTTGTTAAAATGGGCCTCTGTTAGCGCAGCCCCTGCCCCAACTCGTTAGTTCAGAGTATTATTCTTCATTTGGGCTCTAATTTTGCTTTTGCCCGAGTCTGAACCTGAGCTTATTAATTGTTCTTAGTGGTCTGTATTTGACTTTGACCCTTTGTAAAAGATTTTCTATCATACTAGTCATCGTCACGTGCCTTGCATGAATTTTGAATTTATTGTGTGTGTGTGTATATATATATATATATTTATTTATTTATTTATTTATTTATTTTTATTTTTTTAAACTAAATAGTAATATTGATAATGTCATACCCACCCAACTTGATATATATTTAATATTTTATTTTATGTTGAAAAAATAAAAATCTGGAAAATTTTTTGAAATTCAGTTTGGTAAGTGAATTACGGTGTTTTGCATTCCCGGTTCGTAAGTGCAAAAATCTGTATATAAAAAATACAGTAAACTGCAAATACGGTAGACAGCATATATAGTAAGTTACAAATACGATAGGCAGCATATACGGTAAGCTGCAAATAGGTAATGTGAAAATATAGTAAATTGTTTGCAAATACGATAAGCTGCAAATACGGTAAGTTGTAAATATGGTAGACAACAAATACGGTAATGTGCAAATACGATAAGCTGTAAATATGGTAAGTTGTTTGCAAATACGATAACCTGCAAATACGGTAATACGGTAAGTTGTAAATACGGTAAGCAGCAAATACGGTAAGGTATTTGCAAATACGGTAGACTGTAAATCGATAGGCAACATATAGGTAAGCTGCCTGTAAATGCGGTAAGCTGATTTATAATTTGTTATAAATATATAAAATTTATTTAATATTGAATTTCTTGAGTATTAAATATTTAATTTAATATTGTTTCATTTTTTATAATTCTATTTTCGAGAATTAAAAAAAAATGTTATGAAATTGTTAATTTTTAAATGTGTTTTTTTCTTGAAGGTAAAAATGATTTTTTTATATTATTTGTAAAAAAAAAATTATTGTAATTTTGTTAGGGTAATAAGAAGATTTATTATGCATTTTTATTTTTTGCATTTTGTAAAGAATTTTTTTATCATGATTGACAAATATTCTTCCACATCGCATCATGCCAAAGTTTAGTTTTTTTCCTCTCCGCACGTTTTTTTATTTTTACTCCGCACTTGGTTGAACTATCTCCGCACTATGCGAAGAGTTTTTTTTTTTTTTTAATATTGAATTACACAAAATTTAGAAATATAATTTTCACATTCAATTCAATCATATCAACACTAATAGTTTGTATATTTCTTATTCAAACATGAAATATACAAGCATATTTTTCTAGATAATATACTGCTATGCAATTGTAAAAATAATTTACAATTATTTTCTTATATCATGGAAATATTTTTAAATATTCCCTCAAAAATTTTCCAAAAAACTAAAAAAAATTTGCTTTGCAGTTCGTGTGAGCAAAGTGCAGAGTTAATCCCAAAAAGTGTGGAGTCACTCTGCACACTCCGTACATCTTGCTTTCTTCCACATCCCATTGTCTTTATAAACTTTAATAATCTTATTATACATAAAAGAATTTAGCTGGTACTCTTTTTTCTTCATCTGAGAAATAACTAACCAAGTATCTTTTACCTTATTCGTGTGAACATAATAGTCAATAAGTATTAATGTTTTGCGATTCCTTGCCAAACCCGAATCATCTAATAATCTCCAGATTTTATCTGCAAGTTGTAAGAGCCTTTTCTAAACAACTTTTGAGCAATGTATTAACAGTTTAATTCCTGACTACAACCCGAAAGTATAATTTCATTGAAAATAATGTCTGCCAATATTCTTTCTAGAGCCTCCATTTGTAAAAGTAATGTCATGGCATTATCAATATCTCCTTCTTTGAAATTGTTATCTATAGAAATTTTTTTAAAAAAATCATTAATAATAATTAATGTATTTAGTCTAATTACTCTAAAAAAAATTGCGACGGTGTGGAATGTGTGCGGACACTCCGCACGTTGCGTGTCCCACAGATTTGTGCGGGGTCCCCGCACGAATGTGCGGGGACTCCTCGCACCAATTTTGTGCGGAGTCCCCGCAATGCTTGAAGACCGAGATAGCACGAGAGTTGCCAAAATCACATTGCCACATCAAGAATAAGATTTTGAACCTGTATAAAAATGTAACTGTCTCTATCAATATGTTTTAAAGGCAAAAGATGCCTTCGCATAAATGATATAAGATTTTTGGAGAGTTGGAGAGAACTCTCTGCACAGTGCGGAGGCACATTGTAGAAAGATGGCTCCACACTATGCGAAGAGTGCGGAGAGATGGCTTCGCACAGTGCAGAGTTTTTTTTCCTAGTTTATATATATATTAAAAAAACAATGGATAAAACAACCAATTGCAATAAATTCTAAGTTCAACAATCCAATTGGAAGAAACAGCTTTTTACACAATTGCCTAAATCAAAATAAATTTGCTTCTCTTAAAGTAAGTTGCAAGTATCTCATGATAAAGCTGCTAAAAATAGTTATGCCATTTAAAGAAGACCTATTATATAGAATTCATCATTTAAGAGCAAATATGCATACACTGAACACAAACAGAAACTCTTAAAAACTACCAGAGATTAGAAAATGACCTGAGAAAGGCTTTCTGAACAGAAGTACCTATGTCACCAGTCAAATATGCTTCTTGCTTGAGAACATACTGATGAAGATATTTAGCACAAAATTTGGCAACAACCTTACCTGTGAAATTCAATGCATTGATAATAGAACAATAACGTACTGACCAGACAACAAAGAAATTGGTTAGCAAAGCTTGATTTAGAGCAAAACATTATTTCAATTCAAACTAATTATAATCTTAAATGGATCTGTATTGTGACTTGTGAGTACAAGATCTCATGACATAGATTATGGTATACAAATGCCTACAGTCAACACTTCATCTTTCTTTTGCCTAGTCATATCTTTTGAATCATAGGTATATGCTAAGGAATGCCGATTTGTATTCAAAATATTCGTGCCATGGTAAATCGCATGCACCCTAATTTAGTATGCAATATAACAACATCAGAAGTAGAAAAACTTACCCCTATGACCATTATAAACACGAAAGAATAAGGTGGAAGCATCCAAATCAGTAAGCATTGCATGCTTGAGAAAAAACAATAAGACCATAGGTTATTCAAGATAGTGAACAATTCATCTCATTATTACAAAATTACAAAATTTGCATTATAATGTTATACAACTGTCTTCCCTTATTTTCTTTTTTGCACTACTACACTCGCAAGCTCCTTCTCTCGAGCAGCCTAGGTGCCCATGCACTTTATTAAGAAAATGTCTACATTAATCAAATTACCAAATTGAAATTATTTATTAATAAAATAGGCTATGGTGTTTGTGTGAAAAAGGGGTTGCTTGTAGTCTCTGATTTTTGTGTGAAAAATGGAGAAACAGAAGATTATAGTTTGGAGAAAGAGAAATGGAAACAATGGTTGCATGTTGAAATTGAAATAATTTTGAAGCTGTTAAAATCGGGATGTGATGAAAGAATGAGATTCAACACTATTGTAGATATTGCATCTCTAGAGATTAGAAAAGGCATGACCATAACGTATGAAAATGGAGAATGAAAAAGTTAAAAAAAAAAAAAATGATGTCATTTTTTCTCTTGTATAGTAACTTGGGATTGGTTTACTATTCACTACTTCCCATTTTTAATAGAAGTTAGATATGTGATAGTTTTGTGAAAAAAATGTTCTTAAATGAGTTACTCACTCTTAATTCTTTTGGTTCCAAATAAAAACTCAAATTTTCGAATGCTCCTCTTCACTAATTATTATTTTTTTCATTTCATTTTTTTTACTTTTGTAAAGTTCAATCTTCCCCCAGTTGGGGGGGGGGGGGGGGGGGGGGGGGGGGGGGGCTAAATCTGCACGGAACGAGCATGAAATTGACGATACTTTTATCTTTTGAGTTGTTTTAATTAATTTTGTGATTCGCTCAGTCGAACTTATTCCTAGAGCTCTGATCAAAATCGGTATTTGATATTCTTACTTAGAATCTCGCTTCAGTTTGTCTTTGCTTTCCAACTATTATCTATTAGTTTGGTGGCAAATTAAATCCCAATTCAATGTCTAGTGTTTATATGGATCACTAATAATTGGTTATTGCTCAACTGGATAAAACTTTAATCTCAACAAATAAACAAGGTTCACCTAATAAAACCATGTACATCACAAATTGTGATAAAATGTGGTTTTGGGTATAAATTATCAGAGCGCGATTAATTTTAAGATCAACAATTATTATATGCATTACTAAATCTGTTTCTCTGTCTATGAACTTGAAATGGAAAAACTACATAATATATATTAACACAAAACTAGAACTATAAACTTTTCACAATAGTTTTATAATAGCAATATATTTAGACTAGAGTTGGTTGGGGGCAATCCCTATTGGGAAAACCACCTCCAAAAATAGGTGTATGCCGCTAATTGCGGCGAGCACACGGTATTCTTTAGTAAAAGGCGAAAGAATAGTTCGCTTTGTGCTCACCGCACGGCTGCATGGAATATCCTCTTATACAGAGCCAAATTTTATAGCCTCTCATTCTCTCATCTTAACACTTTCTACCGATGTGGGATTGGTACTGAACAAAAAACCCAATTGCACTCCAAAATTCCAACTAGCATAGCATTAACTCCACCAGCTTGTGTACCTTATCGTCATTTTTGCTTCTGGTTTCATTTTTGATCAAATTGATTATAAGATCATCAGATATGAGCTTTCTCTGGAGCAGGAAGTTGGTACTCTTAACTCTCTCTCCGTGGACGCACAGATGAGGGAATTGGCTACTGATGTCAAATTTATTAGTAATTCGTGCACACACTTCGTTTTGATGCAAAAATGTTTTTCGTGTCGAATTTGAGGTGTGTTGACGTATACCCTCCTCCAATTCCAGAAGTTGGTAATCTAACTCTCTCTTCTTCGATGTATGGGTGTTGGGTGGCTATTACCCCGTCAATGGAAAAACCTCTTTTTAAGCGTAGGAGATGTTTTGAGAAGTGCGATCACACTCACTCTACAAGTTTGGCTGGTACCATGACATAACTTCAAGATATTTCGTGAAAACTTCGCTAACTTTATCGCAAACCTTGTTAGAATTTTGCTCAAGCAACTGATGCTCTCGGTCTTTTCACATCTGGTTTACCGGCAAAATGAGTCCATTAATTCCATCCTTTTGCCTTTCTTTTACTTCTCTGTCTCAACTTTATTGGTTTCGGGTTTAGCTGTTTAGGGTTCTTATCAATTTTAATCTTGGATTCCACACTTGCAATTGATTGTTGCTACCATGCAAAAGAAGAAGAAAAGAAGAAGAAGCTCGAGACAGGCAGAAGATCATTTGGAGGGAAAAAAGAGTCTTTTGTGAACTGAGTTGTTTTTGTTCAACTAAATGTTTTACCTTCCAGGCAGGTCTTCTGCTACGTCGTTATTTTATAGTAAGGTTGTTACTCGAGGGGCAGACAAGGACTCGAGTAATGTTATAGTGCTGCTAATGTTCTTGGAAAACAGTCTGAATGTTTTCAAGGAATTAGCCTTCTATTACAGTCCCATCGTCCCCCAGACGGGTGTTCTTTGATATTATCCGAATCAAAGTCGGTCTGTAAATCCATAGATTTTCTTAGAATTATCAGAATATCTAAAACCATAAGTCTACTTCTGTTTCTCTGCGACATATGAGCTGAATCTCTCATCAGCCAAGAAAAGTTAAATCCTATGAATATGAAAAATATTATTTGAATAAAAAAAAAAGAAACACTGAAATATGATGGATATGAAGTTCAAAACTCAGAAACCAAAGAAACAGTAGAGTAGAAGAATATGATCCGCGTATAACCTTTGCCTTCCATTTTATAAATTTAAATTATATATGCAGCCGCAAACCAAAATGTGGAGTAGCAAGAGAACACTTGATATTTGATGGTAATAAGCTAATGTCTTCTGCATCCCACATTGGAGAACAAGAAAAGGGAGAGGTTGAGGAGTACTACAAAACTAGACCAAGTGGGATTGTTCTAAGTACTTACCTGGACGGGGTCAATGGGTGATCAACAAGGCTCATGGCCTAGGTTGGTGACTTCCATTGCACCTTGGAGGGGCACCTGCCTAAGGTCGGCCCAAGTGGTCGAGCCTACGTCATAATTTGTGCTAGTGGGAGCCTGCGTTCGCGCGGCCCCTGCCCAACTCTTTAGTCTAAGCTGTTCTATAATTTGGGCATGAAGGTGAGCTAATATATAACTTTTCTGCAAATTGAACTGCATTGATTTATGTTAAATTTTCTATCTGATAGTTAATAAGGTTTAGGGGGCCAGGGGGTGATCGAAGATGAGGTTCATACAAGTGAAGAAAAATTGATCTTAGACAGGTGCATTATCAACAGTAAGACATACTCAAGTACTCAAAAACACCTTGTAAAATGAAGTGCCAGTCAATATATAAAACTACAAGATACGCCTCCGACGAGTAATGTGAGATCAGAAGTAATCGGCTCAGGATTCTCCACAAAACAACAATATATTAAATTCACAAGCAAAATCAATTGCTTCACTTGATAGAAAGATAACTGTTATAATTGACGATTATGTAATATATGCCGCAATTTTGTAGCAGTCATGTTTTCATCAATCTTAAACAATTAGTCTCCAACTTCTTGGTACTCAACATCAATCATCAGCAAAACCAAGAAACCTGCTAATGAACTTGGCAACCGGGGTTGCATCACCTGGTTGATACACTGTAAGAGATTCTGGATCCATTTCTGAGATTGTCTGATAGAGCGTTTGGGGACGAGCACAAAACAAATGTTTTCTCTCTGCTAGTTCTTCTGCCAGCTCACTTTGATGATTATCCATCAAATCCTCATTAACTACCACAATTAAAGGTTTTTTGAGCTGCAATGTCTCAAATATGCTCCCTGAACCTGCAACACCAGATAAAATCTCATTAATTAAATTCTGATTGAGACGCCCAACAAAATGTCTTGCCAAACATTTGAAGAAAAACTGGTTACATGGACCAAGAAATGATCACAACCTCTATTTAAAGCATCAGAGATCAGCAATGCAATAGTTTTTTACACTGAAATAGATGGAAGGAAAGTAAACCTAAATAAATAAATCAAATAGTTACCAGAATCAAGACATCATCCAAATTTGATTTTTAAAGGCGAAAAAAAGAAAACAGACATCGACCTATTACTTTTCCATCAAAAGTATACAACAAAGGATGGTGATTTTTTATCACAATTAATTATTAACCAAAAAGTTCAACCACCCAAGTGGTAGAGGACTAGGAGCATGTTTGGTAAGTGATTATAATTTAAAGCTTGTTTGGAAAAGATTAAAATCTGATCTTAATCTAAATCAAAGTCAAACAATCAATATTAACCATATCTTTTATGGATCCTACAACTTTTCAACCACACATTTCAAAAACTTCTATCACAATCTACTAAAAAATCTAATTTTAATCCCTACCAAACATACACTTAATCACTTCTAATCAAACATATTTTTTATTCACACATTTCGTAGGATCCATACTTACTACCCATTTATTATCCACACATTCCATGAGACCTACAATTTATAATCGCTTAAATTTTAATTTAATCACTTTCCAAACAGGCATTGATTTGGGTTCTTTATACAATTTCAATGGTGGTCTTCATATATCAGAGTTAAGAATTAAGATAGTACTGGACCCTATAAAGTAGCAAATACAATATAAGGAAAAAAAAAAAAAAAAAAAAAAGAAACTTAACCAATCTGCCATATGCTTTCCTCCAGCTCATGTCTAATATATGAATAGCTTAGAACATTACTCCTAATCATGCACAAATAGATTGTCTATGACTCTGTCAGGAATAGGCACTCAATATATGGTATATACAGTGTTTAATGGAAACTGGAAAGGTGAAGTAACTTGCTAATGAGGGGAAAGGTGCAAGAAAAGCATATGGAGAAAATATGGGGGATGTTCAGATGATAGAATTACATAAAATAGGCGAGAAAGGAGAGTTACCTGCATGACTGATTACAAGAGACGCGGATTTCAGGTACTCAGCTATGCTTGAGGAAAATGTAAAATAGTCTACGTCCACAGATCCTTCTTCTCTAGCAGACTGAAAATCATAATAATTCTTTAATGACATTATGCTAAGCATCAACATTTTGAAATAAAAGTAGGTTATGAAAACGTACTCCTAATCTTCTAATCTAGCAATTTTTTCTCAACATTACATCTTCTAATAGATGACACATCCTAATTATTTAATGGATAAGCTAATAAAAACACTAAATGTATTGAAATCTGGAGAACTTGTAATGTATTGCTTAGATCCACAGAGCGACTGACCATGAGTTTTGACCTCATGTGATGCTGCCTGGGAGATTTTAAACAATTTGGCATGTATTACTCTGGCAGTGGATGAGAATAACAATCATATATGAGATGGGAAAAGCTCAACTTCCTATGCTTCTTGAGAAAGGCAACTTGTAGAAAAGAGGTAAATTCTATTATCAAGGTGGTGACTAGATTTCCCATCTTCAATCAAGTCCTGCTATTTACACTCACAACATAGTCTTCTTCTATTAAGAAACCATGCAGAGAGGAATTTGGAACCAATAGATGCTAGATGTCACTAATTTAATTCAAATGAAGAGAGGTGATTTGACTAACAAACAAGCATGGTAAAGGCTGTACTAACTCTTGCATACAAAAACTGATGCACAAAAACGTATCCACTTCTTGAAACAATCTCTTGCATAGAGAACTATTTTCCTGCCTATTGTACACAGCAGTTGGAAATTGATTATGCAGTTGAAACTACTAACTTGGTCACACATTCTAAAATTTTGAGTCAAAGAATGGATAAAAAGGTGGTTATGATAATCAGTTAAGACTATGAATGACATCTGGGAGTCATACTTTGAGGTTATTTTAAAAGTGGAGTTCTGGAAACGGAAGAATGGATGCAGACAACCAGTAATTCACTAAAATGTAACCTCATATTGAAATTTGCATTTTATCTCACTGCATGTTCCTTGCTGCCACTTATTCATAATTATCAAGAAATCATTGATTTCATTTCTTTAAACTTATACTTGAAGTCCTAAATTAAGTGGACAGTACTCAAAAGTCAGCCCCTCGTATTTATTTTACTTATAGCTATCTTCACCGTCTAGAAAGAATTTCAAGAACTATTTTTTAGAGCCTGGAATAAAGCCCATATCTTGCTTTTTTCTTCACCCAAGTAGATCTGGATAGGGAACTGGCTGCATTTAAAATCGGAATAGATACCTAATACTCGACACCATACTGCTAAATGCCAGGATCAACAAGTTGATTAACATAAAATAGAAAGCCACAAGTATAAATTACCTTTGTGGGGATGTAGGATCCACGCCCCATTTGAATGAGAAGGTGGGTATAGCCCTTCCTAAACAAAGCTTCTTTAACTTCTTGAGTGTCCACTGCTCTGACCAGAGAATCAAAACATGTTGTTCCAACCGTCACGAAAACCAATCTCTTGGAGTTCATGCTATGGTCAACCTCACTCATTATATTCTTTCAATTCTCTCCACCTTACTCACTTCAATGCTTAGAATTGTTGATAAACATCACATATTTAACATTCTTGTTCTGAACATAACAAATGCAAAAGAAGATGTGCTTCTAAGGACAAGGACAGACTGCGCAGAGGAAAATCAATGCCATTGTTAGCTTAGAGTCTACGAATAAATCATTAAATTCTCTATCTTCATGTTTCTGGATATGCAGAAAATTATAGACTCAAATTATTATTTGAACAAATTATGCTCAGACAGAGAAAAAAAAAAGTAGAGAAAATAGAATTATGAATTGAAAAAATGGAGAGGAGAAATGGACAGAAAGAAAACAGAGGTAGGCTGAATTGAAGCACAGGCAAGGCTTGCAGCAACTGCACCACATTCAAATGAAGAATGGAGAGTTTTTCACAATTAACACATTTTCTATCAGAGCTTCGTATTGTCATATTAGTAATTGAGTGTGGATAGCCTTGAAAGAAAATGATTAATTTGATCGCGCTGATTTCTGACGAACACCTCCCTGTGCACTTCTATCCCCAAAGGTTTTTTCTTGGCATTAAGTTTCTCGACCTTTCATTAACATTAAAATTAAAATTAACATGCACATGACCCTTAAACTTCCTTCCAAAATTCGTTACCGTTAAATTGAAATATATAAATAAATTTATAAATTGAATATATAAAAGGGAAAAATATTTTAAACATCACCTTCTCCAAGCCCCACATGCCATGACCCAGCTGCACCCCTGCCCCTCATTCCTACAGACTCTCCCAATCCGCAAAGCCCTACAGCAGCCCGAACCCTGCAGCTCCCTCCTTACCCCACCCAGTCCAAAGCCATTTTCAATGCTAAATTACATTACTGAATTCATGCGGGGAATAAATTTCTTGATGATAGAATTAATTACCCAAATAATATCCAGTAGCAAAAAAGAGATGCACAATTCGATTATGAGCATGTTTCGCGAAGTGAATGCTAGGTAAGGCCATACTATCAAGAAAAGGCTGAAAAGAGTCCACTTTTGGCTTCTTTTAGAATTTAAATATTAGCCAGGTATTATGTTGGAAACAATAATGATCCAAAACCCGGGAAATCTCGAAGAAGAAGGGAAATAAAATCTGCCACCAATTTATGCAATAAATCAGATATTATTTGTTGACCACTATTGATTTAAGTTATTGAGACGGGAAACTGAAGAGTAATACACACTGCTAGGAAATTGGATCTGGGATATCACACAATCAAGAAAGAAAAAGGAAAAGGAAAAAAAAGAAAATAAAAGAAATTTAATTGTTGTTGTTAATTTTGATTAAACTGAATAAATAAATGAAAAGAAGAACAATCAAACCTGATGGAATGGAGCCGCCTTTAGACAGGAGAATCAGATCTAAGACGGAGAAATATTCTTAAACCTGATTTAACATTGAGTTCTTGTGTTGTTTGAGTCAGTTACTTCAGAAAATTCATTTTTCCAAAATTTATTTTTAATTATACATTTTTCAACAAAAGAATAGCTAAAACTTTTTTCTAAATTTTTAATTACATATTCTCTATCAATCTACTATTCAAAATACAGTTTTCGAAAAAAAATAGGGCTCAAGGCTGGTTGAGGCTCTGCCGATGGAATCTCTAGCATTTGAGCAGGCGATGATGTTTTCTAAGATAATTGTACTAAATAGTGTATTTCATTTGAATTACTTTGGCAACTTTTTCATATTTAGGACTTAATTTTATATTTTATTTTTCAACTGTGGTACACAAGTGAAAAGCAGTCTAAAAAATAGGGATGACAAGTGTCTTTCTGTGATTGAACAATTTGAAAATTTAAGATAAAAACACTCAACCATTTGTCGTCACCTCAATCTGTCTCTTACTTCCCTATTTTTTGCCCCAACTAACTGACTTTATTTTAACTAATTTTTTTCTAAATTTTTTTTATTATTTTTTATATAGAAAAATAAAACACTTTAAATGCATCAATTACAGAGAATGAGTTCTCTAGATTAAAATGTTAATGAATCTCTTGAAACGTGATTTTAAGGGTTCTCTTAAAAATAAAGATTCTCTTGTTTAAAAAATTTATCGGAGATACTCTTAAATCAAGTCTCCTGATTGAACCCTATTTTCAAAACTTATCAGGTGGGATCAATGGATCGAGCTCGACTCATTTCAACTTGGCCCATATTGACTTGAGCTCGTTTTGTGATGAGCTATGAATATCATATCTCGCATTTTTTTTGACTAGTTGGCCCATTGTGGTTTGTGATGGTGAAGTGTCTCTATTAATGGTAGGAAAATGAGGAAACTCAGACAACTTCTTCAAATTTGAATTGAAACCTAAGAATAAACTCCTTGAATATGAAGAGTTTGAACATAATGCCCCCGTTTGACCCTCATTCTCCTTCTCATTCTTTTTCTCTCTTTTATTTTCAACCACATAATCCTTCATAAAATAATATTTATACGCAAATAAAAAAAAAATCATTCTTTTTCAATCACACATTTTTCAAAAAAATACTATTCCAACCATTAAAATTTGGCAAGAGTGGGGACCAAACGGGAGCAATATTTTTTCAAAAAAAAAAAAAGCTTCCATCTGGCTCCTATTATTTGAATTTTAATAGTTGTAATATTTTTTTAAATAATGTGCGTTTGAAAAAAGAATAAGTAGTTTTGGAATTATGTGTGATGATACCAAAAATCGTACCTACTGATTTTCCAAGCTTGATGATTCGGGTTGATCACGATAGCGGTCTTCCGGTACCTGAAACAAAGACAACGAGGTATGTTCTCGTCGCCCCTCCGATGCTTAAGTCAGAAAGGGAAATATAAGCGTGAGGCTATGTGCTGAAGAACAATGAAAAACGTACATGAATAATGGCCCAAGGTTCTGCTTTTATAGGGGTAGGTAGTGTACTCCTAGTAGGATTGTGTTGGTTGGATGTTTTTATCCAAGGGAATTTCTATTTATAAAGAGTGTCCTATTTGTAACGGAATTGTTTGACAAGCGGTATCAGGGTTGATGTAGAATCCTTGGGTTTTTAGGTTTGTTTGTTAGGTACCCAGGTCTTAGGAGGCATGTTGGTGGTGTATGTCCCGAGGACTATTCTCGAGGACCTGAGAGAATGTAAATATGTCCTCGAGGACTACAATACCTCGAGGACTTAGGGAGACCTCGAAGACCATAGCAGAGAAATGAGATGGGGTATATATGGAGTCCTCGGGATAAACTCCTCGGGCTATATCAATATTGGCATAGTCACTAGCCCCCGTGCACTCGTCCTAGAGATCGAGCTCTTAGGATGGGGTGCACATGGGTTATGTCATTTCTCGAACCTTCGTCGATAAGTGATGACTGATGATAAAGGTCGAGATATGACCGTTGCAGAGAGTGGCTTGGATTTGTGACACGTGTCTTCGTGGACGGTCGTAGATAGCGACCTTTGGCCTCCCATCGTTTTCACCTATAAATACTGTTGTTCTCACCTTTATTTTTCACTTTTACCCACTGTAAATCAGAGTTCTGCGAGGTCGTGCTCGAGAAAAACACTTAGGGAACTTCTCAAGTCGTCGGGAACTCCAGGTAAGGCTCGAGACTTTAAGTTATTCATAAGCTAGGTCTTAAGTTTGCGAAGTGATGTCGAGTAGTAAGGGTTGAGAATCTTCTAGTAGTTCTAGTAGTAGTGAGGACGTAGGGACCTCGATAATACCGACGGCTATTCCCCTAGAGGCTATTCCCGAGGCCCAGGTTAATATGGTTTTTGAGTATCCCGACGAACCCTGCAGGCTTAAAGAGCTCAGTCATAGCTGCAGCTAGGGAATATGGTATAATGCCTAATTGCGATGTTAGATTTCCTGACCCCGAGGATAGGATTGTTCGAGCACGACGAGGGGAGTTTGTTATTTTTAGGGAGACCCTTAAGGCTGGCTTTAGGTGGCCTCTTCACCCCTTCTTTATTGCTCTATTAGTCGAGCACTCCATGTGCCGGGGGCAGTTAGTGCCCAACGCCTGGAGAATGCTCGTTTATTTTTTTTATAGCATGTAGATACTTAGGTATCGAGCCCAACATTGGCCTCAGTAAATTAGTGTTCGAGTTTAAGAAGCATCCTCGATATACTTGTTTTGGCTATCTCTCGACGATTGGGGGTTTTAAAGTCCCGAGGATGGTGAGCTCTTTGAAGGGGTGGAGGGAGGGGTGGTTTTATGTTATAGCACAAGAACCCGATCTTCCTTTCTGGCCTGATTGGGGAATCCTCGACGCCGAGAAGTTCTGTGAGGGCCAGGTATATCCGGATGTTTTGGAAGAGCATAGGAGGATGCTGGTCGGGCTCAGCCCCCTTTTCTCGACGATGAAGGAGATTGGGGAAGAGGTTATAGACCTGGCAGATATTAGAGGCGTCGATGGTAGGGATGTTCCTTTATTATTATTTTTTGAAAAATAGCCTGACCTTGTGCTCGTTCTAAAATGTTTGTAAATTTTTGCAGGTATGTCTTTTGATCCTCGGGCTCTTCGAAACTTTGTCAGCACAAGGGCAGACGCTCATCCACAGGGGCAGCCCCCGAGGAAGAAAAGCAAGAAGAGGCCTCGAGGGACTCCTGAGGGTGCGAGGGGGCCTGGCGAAACATCTCGAGCACATCCACAAGTCTCGACCCCTCTGCAACCGAACCTTAGATCTCCCACTCCTCGGGTCGTCACTCCTCAGCCTCCTTCTGAAGTGGTTGACCTTGAGGATGACCCGTCTCTCACGGGGGACTTTGAGACTTGCCACCTCGCTCCTGAGCTCGTAAATAAATACAAGGAGGAGGTCAAGCTCGAGGATGGGATGAAGGTCCTTAAGGGTCTTACAGTAAAGGTAATCTTCGGGCTTTCGACTTTAACCTCAAGTTTTTTTTTTGTCGAGATTAATACTTGTCATTTTCTTCATTTTTTCCAGATGTTGAGTATAGCTCGAGGACTTTCTCTACAAGGGCTCGAGGAGGCCAAGAGGGCAGCTGGGGTCGAGACGTCCATGGCCTCTAAGGATAGCAGGATTCAAGAACTCGAGGCTCAGGTCGAGGTTTTATTGAAGGAGCGTGATGACGCGAGGAGAGAGGCTGCAAAGTCCAGGGATGACCTTGTTGTAGCAAAGGATGAGGTCGAGGGTGCGAGGCTCGAGCTTATCCAGAAGACAGAGGATTTTGGGCGCGAGCTCGCGGCTGTCAGGGAGAGGGCCTGGGAGGAGTTTAAAACCTCCGAGGACTGCGACAAGATAAAAGGGGAGTACGCGTCGGGGGCGTACTTCCATGCTCTAAAAGAAGCCCGGGCCTTCCTCCGTCAGAAGTTGCCCGACGTCACTCCGGACGGCCTGAAGACAGTGCCTTCCATTGCTGATACATTGGAGCTCTCGGGTTTGGAAGATGGAGGAGGATCGGGTGGAGATGATGAGGATGGTCTTGAGGACGACGTTGAGATCGACATCAGCAACCTCAACCCTCCTCTTGGCCACATTGGATGACTTCCCCACCCCGATCTTTTGTAATTTTTGTTTAACTTTGAACATGTAAATTGATCGAGGACTATGTATGTTCTAAAGTTAATTTATTCGAACTATTTATCTCGACCCCTTGGACTCCATACATTCGAGCAAACAAATTCGAAACTAACTGCTCATGCGACATCGAAGTGTTTACTCGAGGATTCCACAACTCGAGCGTATTTAAGGGATTAAAAAGTGAGTGACATTCTCGAGGACTGTAATCCTCGAGCACAACTAATATTAAAAAATGATAATGTGACATTCTCGGGGACTGTAAACCTCGAGCACAATTAATCTTAAAAAATGGTAATGTGATATTCTCGAGGACTGTAAACCTCGAGCACAATTAATCTTAAAAAATGATAATGTGACATTCTCGAGCACTGTAAACCTTGAGCACAACTAAACTTTTCCTCGAGGACTGTAACCTCGAGCACAATTAACTTAAAAAGCTATAATGTGAAATTCTCGAGGACTATAAACCTCGAGCACATCTAACTTAAAAAGTTGTAATGTGAAATTCTCGAGGGTGTCAAAAATGATGTGGGATTTTTGTATGTCCCTGGGTGATACTATAACGGTTTATGCTTGAGTATATGATCAAGGCTTTTTGTACTTGTGCAGGGCAAGGCTTTCTTGAGTGCTTGCTCGGGGCAAGGCTTTTTGTGCTTGCGCGGGGCAAGACTTTTTTGAGTGCTTGCTTAGGGCAAGGCTTTTTGTGCTTGCGCGGGACAAGGCTTTTTTGAGTGCTTGCTCGGGGCAAGGCTTTTTTGTGTGCTTGCGCGGGGCAAGGCTTTTGGGGCTTGCTCGGGGCAAGGCTTTGGTGATTCCTGGGCGCAAAGTAAACTAAAGGGCTGTTATACCCGAAACTTGAATTTACTAATTTTTCGGACTGGACTTGAATTTATATTATATCGAAGCTGCCTACGTACCCAAACGGGATCAAGCCGAACGTAGTTCATTAAGAGAAAACAAAAAACATGTTTGGGCACGCAGGCCCGCTAAACTAGAGAAATAAAATGCAAGGGCGCGCAGGCCCGAGGAACCAAAAATAATATTCAGAAGAAAAAATGCAGGAATAAAAAGAAAATCTCCTAGATGTCATCGAGAATGTTACTTGT